TCGCCTAAATCGGCCACTGCCCTGGCTTAGTGTGTACAGATAGAACCTAAAAACTAACCAAGATATAGGTAGATTATTTTCTTATAGAGCTTTTTTGATTGTTGATTTTTTTTGTCCAAATAAAATGTTAATACTGTAACTAATTGTGCAGCCACGTTCACTGACGTAACATATCCCTTTAAATGGTGAACTTTAACAGCGTCCAGCGTTACCATTTGTGAACGACGTGCAGGAAATTGTTTGTAGGCTGAACATAAACTGGAGGTGATTTGGAAGAAACGTTCATAGCCCTTTGACGTCAGACCCCAGTGTGCTCCATACACCTAAAAAACAAAACTTGGGTTTCAACAATGACTGTGTACTTTACTGCCATTACCACTATTGGGACACTTCGCATGGATGGCGCGGTTGGTTAACGATGAGTACTAAGGAATTATATTTAATGGCCGTGACTTTATCCAGTTTTTATTTATTTATTTATTTTTTTAAATTTTGAGACATTGTATTTTTTTTCTGTTAGTGGTAGTAATTATTGGCAATTAGGAACCCTGCCAAAAAAAAAACTCCAATATAACTATAATAGCTTAAGGCCACTGTGACTGCCAGGTTGGCCAGTTCCAATCTGTTGAGACCAGTGACGGCCAACATAAATTGTGTACTTCCATGTGTTTTTTTTAAATTTCAGCACCACACCCATTCTTCCTAGTAGGCCTGTTGTTAGCCTTGCTTTTTCAACATCAACTAGTGCTATGATAGGACTTGTGGGAAGACATTTTCTGAGTACAAAAAATCCACTCTTGTGCTAACCAATATGTTAAAGGTCAACCCCCAACTTCTACTTTTGCAATTTTTAAAATTTCCCCTAGTAGGCCTATGGCTATAATTTCAAGAATAAAAACTTACTCTATGTTCCTTATGTTAGACTCAGTAAAGTCATTTTTTTTTTATTACCGTCTACGGACCCAAATTATGGAATACTATTGAGGATAAACTTGAAATATCTACAAATGTACACATTTTTTTAGAAAACAAATGAAAATCAATTATTTAAAAATGTACCAATTATATTTAAATTCATTTGTTTGTTTATTTTAAATTTTAAATTGTTCAATTCTTTGTTTGTTTGATTATTGATTTATGTATTTCGTGAATATGATTTTTGTCTCGTTCGGGTCAATCTAAGACAAGGTCAGCTTCTAAGCCTGATCCAAATTGATGGATTCTTGTATTGTTTCTTTTTTTTTTCTATAGATTTAATAAATGTGTGTAATGAATGAATGAAAGTAGTTACATATCGTACTATGCCAGCGCCATAAATTCCCCTAATAGGAGTCCCAAGCCCCAAAAAGTTCCCACATTTACTCAGGCCCACCATGGTTGGGGCTTAGGTGAGCAAATTTTAAAAATAGTACACCTTTAGAATCCTTGAAATGGAACTTTGAGACAATAAATGTTTTGTTTTTAAAGCAATGTTTTGAACAGAATGCGCACTGGCATGCTCCCCGGATCCGCCGCTCAGTGGTTCGCAACATAGCTGCGCCCCACTTGATCAGTTAATCCCATCAGTCTCCCCTTCTCCATGTCAATAATCTACACCACTAAATACACAATGAGCACCATACACTCAGAAAAATCCAGACTCATCTTGGTAGCAATGCCAGATAAGTGGTCGTGTTAAAAATAATGCACGGGCCGGGGTTAAATACCGGGGTGTACTATATTTTAAGCATGTTTTAATATTGTCAAAAGCCTCGTCTGAAAGCTGCATACACGAAGCGTTGAACGCTGAAGAGGTAACCTCAGTTTAACGCCGTACCGGTGTTGTTATGCTTTGTTTTTGGATATGATGTGACTGTCCGTTATGGGGATATGGCAGATGTTGCATCTGGGGTTCCGGGTTACTGCAAGGTTTGTTACCTGTACATTCGGACAGGGGCGGATCCATAATATGGATCTGCCCCTGCTCAAAAGAGGGGTCCGAAAGGGGGACCGAAGTGGGGCCGATCGAGACAACACTATATCTAGGGGGTCCGGGGGCATTCCCCCGCGACCTTTTTTGTTTTCTAGACGCCCAAAAATAACATCTGAGGCGTTTTAAGTGATCAAATATATATATTTTTTTAACTTTCGAAAAGGGTAAGGGGCGGGGTGGGCCCCCTCTAAATTCGCCCCTGCATTCGGGTTAACAACCTTTAATAATAGCTGCAGCAGCTAAAATAAAACTTAGAATCACCATTTGTTAAATATCTTTCTTACTAATATTCATTAGTTAGATAAATAAGTTTCTTTTCAGGAATAATCAGGCATTTACACACAATTCTGCAACCGTTACAAAAACATCAAAATGCATATTAAAAAAAAATTGTTTCATTTTTGTTTCCAATATTATTCTCATAAAATCAGTGAGCTCAGTTCTTGTGAAATACTATTTAAAGAAAATGATATTTAATACGCATTCTCAATTATTTGTATGATTATATAAATGTCAAAATAGAAAACTGTTTTGTTGTGGCTAGCTAACAAATATTGTTCAGGGTGTGTCTATTTACTGTGAAATAGCCGATATAGAAAACACAGATTACACAGAATAACGCACACTAAAAATATGAACAAACTAAAAAAAAAAAACAAATAGAGCCCAAAAAAAAAAAAAAAAAAAAAAAAAAAAAAGAAAAGGTAAAAAGAAAAAAAAAAAAACTTACACATTTTTCGTTTAACGTCTTAATTTTACTATAAATGATTGAGTGTTTGTGCCTATTTGTTTTTGTTAATGTGTAACACTTCTAATTTATTATTTAGGCCCTATGCTTACGGTTCTACAATAGAAAAAAACCCCATTGTTTTACTCTCGGAACTTTAAAGTTTTTCTAAATTTACTAAAGCTGGGATAGATCCTCGGGGTTCATTTAGTATTAACTTTTTCCTAATAGGCCTACCTGGAATAAGTTTACTTACAAAATCCTAATAATAATAATAATAGAAAGGTTATGTCAAGCGTGAATTTACTCTACAGAGCTTATCGACATTTTTAAATTTAGCATAATTTAGCGTAATTTGCTGTCAGTCCTAGCACAATTTGATTGGCATCGCGGGTCACACTGCCAGCATTAGCTGCTTCTCTGGATTAACAGGCGTTAAAAATGTGCGATGAAATTCAGTTGACCTCCTACCCACTTATTATGTAATATAGACGCGTATCCGTAGATACAGAGGGCGCTATTTGAATTACAGTAATCAACAAAAACTTCAGGATCAAAAGTAAGGTACAGTACTCTGCAGTCTCTTTATTTATGAGCGTTTTGATTTGTTTTGTTTTTAGGCAACTTAGGTATTGAGATTTTAGATGTGCAAGGGTAAAATGAACCTCTTCAGAGCCTGAGCCTACAGTAGTACTAGGGCTAGGCTAGGCTACTACTAGGCCTAGCCTGAGCCTGTGACTGACCCTAGCTAAGCCTAGCCTACCGTCCTAGCTAGGTAGGCCTACTAGGCCTAGACCTAGTGGCCTAGATTACTGTAGTAGAGAGACGGGCCTCGGCCCAAAACCAACACCAACTCGGCCCAACCGACACTTTGCACCAAACCCAACTCGGACAAATACAAACTCAGCCCAGACGACAATTACCTAAATGAAAACCCAAATGATACGGAATTACCCAAATAAATAGTGTTCGTGATTTTCCAAATGACAATTCAGTTGTATCAAAATTAAATATTGAATACGACTAGGTAGGCCCCTAGGCCTAAATATGATTTTAGTAATTAATATTATTTTAATTTATAGGCCAAATATTATTTTAATTATTAATATTCTTATTATTTATTTTTATATTATCTGAATTAATACTGGGCCCATTCATTATTTTTTAGTAGAATCTTAAACATACTTTAACATAATAAAATAATGTATATTTGTAAGAATATAAAGCAAAATAACATACGAATATTAGATTACACATTTATTCAGGTACATTTAATTCAAATTGGCTTCGTATCCAAACCTTTTTTTAATTCACAACTGGAAAGTGTCAAAGTAAATTGTAGGGCCTATTGTTTAGGCTGGGTACCCCAGCAGTGTTTTTTTTTTTTTTTTTTTTTTTGGTAAATATTTTTTGATAAACTGTTTATTTCAGATTGGCAGCACCCAATATGTTTTTTGATGACCATAGCGCCTTGCAAAAATTGACAATTAGGCCCAATAAAAAAAATTATTAGTTTATCACCCTCGTGCGCATGCCTTCTATGGTACTGGAAAAAAAAAAAAAAAAAAAAAAAAAAAAAAAAAAAATTTGTTTTTTTTTTTTTTATTTTTTTTTTTTTTATTTTATTAAATAGTTAGTAGATATTGTTTGCATTATCTAAATCATGTTTTACTTTGAATATCAATGCACCAGCAAACAACCCAAGGGTAATATTTGGCTTTAGCAAAATAAAAAATAAAAAAAAAAGCCTCCCTCCCTCATCACTTTTCCTGCCCAGATAGGGTGATAAACTAATAATATTTTTTATAGGGCCTTAAAGTTAACTATTCATTTCACACACTGGGAACACGCTACTACTATTTTTAGCTTCTAAATAAATCAATATTGTATATGTGCAGTCATTGTGCCAATGTGTTAAAATGTGAGTCTAAATGCACCTGAGATAAATAAACTATTAAATTTTGTATGTATGATTAAATATTTGTTTGAGAATGTTAAACGAATAAATATTCCAGAAATTATAAAAGAAAAGGAATATGTGGTGATGAACTTAACACATTATAATATTATAATTGTGTAAATTTTTAATAAGCCTACATTAGAAATTATTACACATAACAAAAGTATGTCTATATGAGTAAATAAATAATTTATGTCTGAAAATATTGTGCAAATGATGTTAGAATCAATAAAACTTAATGAACAAGTGATAAAAGATCCGTATGGATACAATAAAAAAAATTATTGGAAATCATTAACAAATTATATTAATAGATAGATGAAAAAAAATTATTAATATTATTATCTTATGATTAAACACATTATGTGCCACATTAAATGCCAATAAAATTAATTTTTGTATATAGATAATGTTAAAAATAAGACGGTTTTAATAGTTAATAGTAAATAATACACAGTAGAAATACTAAAATGAATGATTTGGACAAATTATAATACGTCAGTATGAATTTTTGTATTTTATTTTTTATTCAACTTTATTTACCAAAGGTGACCCAAAACAGCAGTATGCCGACGATCATGTAGCCCTCACATAAAACACACCACAAAAACAAAAATATAGAAAAATAAAAAAAGAGAGTAGGTCTACTATACAATTAAAGATATATATGTTTTGGTCCGAGTTGTCGTCTCAGCCGAGTTGTTTTTGGGCCAAATTGACCTGCTACCTTTTATAATATGTGCTCATTACACTGTGTGACATGGTCCTTAAGCTTGACAGCATAAAACAAACTCCAAATGCGCGAATCTCATGCCAAATTTGTGAGACTTGGTAAAGGAGCTATATCTGTATTTTAAACTGTTGGTAAGTTTTTTGTCAAAATAGAAATCAATTTTAGAACATATTGAAAAAAATCTTTCCTCTGGGCTTTTAAGAGTTTGCTTTCTAAATTCAGGTTTCCCTCTAATATAAAAGATCCCTACAATTACAGACCACCTTTCTACAGCCTCAAATTGAGCAAATTTCTTTTATTTTTATAATAAATAAGATTTCTAATTAAAGACCAAGTCTGCTATTAAAAGGCTATGGAAGCCCGAGTTACAAAATCGGTCATTAATTGGAGGGAGACCTGTATCATTAAACAGTGTACTTCAATTTGTTTACCAGCTCATGACCCATTTTGAGTAGGCCAAGACCTATCTGTTTTTTTATTGTCCGAAAAGTTGGGTTTCTGCAAATTGCCCTTACGTTTGTTTAGGTCGTCACCGAAACATTCTGAGAACTGCATAATATAAGACTTGATAGTTAGTGTGTACAGTCTATGCTGTTTGCACACGGAACAATTTTGTTTCTTCTAGATTGATTAACGAGACATGAAGATGATGCGGCAGGAGAGATCATAATGTTGATTAAGAATTGAATGAATCTAATTTGAAAGAAATGAAAATGCATTCGGATGAGGATGAAGATGATGAAACGAAAGAGGGCATCTTCCTGACACAAACAAAATCTGAAGCGAGCCTACAAGATAATGTGAGACAGCGAGGTGAACAGATTCAGGAAACAGAAATCGGTTTTGCTACTGAGGATGAACATTATGTTGCAGATGTTGAGAATTTGGTGCTTGCAGAAGAAACATCTCGTGTACATTCACAGGTTACGGAGACTGTTTCTAAAGAAGCTGATGATGGTAAATTGGACAGTAAGGGCAATATTGAAGGTGAAGATGATGACCGTAGCATAAAAACAAGTTTGTTTTATAATTACGTTCCTCAAGGATTTCAGCTCAAGAGCTTTTATATGCACAGCAAGAAACTCACAGACCTTGTTGATGGTATGATAGAAAAATTTTTTTTTTTCAGTTAGGATAAATATGGGCCTATACTGTAGTTCCTCTGGTGCAGTAGCCTGTTGAACACAAAATTGGGTCAATTTTTGGGAGTGGGCTTATCCTTGGGGAATCCCCTTTTTTAATCAAATGGCATATAACGTATGTATGTTGTGTTATGTTGCTGACAGTGCACTCGAGTGGCACAAGTGGCGGGGGGGGGGGAGGTGTGAAACGCCATTTGAACATATGCCAACCCATGCATAAAGCGAACGAGAAAACTCGCACTTGGAATACTCAATGAAAACTTCTGTCACAGTGCCGCCAATGAGTTTACTTGTCCTCTAATATTTTCCCGCCAATTTATTAGATGCATCATTTTGATGAGCTATGACTAGATAAAATAAAAAAAAATTATGTTTGTACATGTAAATTTGTTTTGGCACATGGGAAGAGACCATTTAAAAAGGTCTGGCAGTCAACGTGTTAACTTTTTTTTTCTGAGAATATTTGTAAGTTAAGCTTTGGTCGTCTCTAAGTCTTGATCCGTCTTTTGCCCACAATGCACCACCATCCATACTGCTCTCATTGGAACACATCACATTTTTTTCTGACTAATACAAATATATAGATGAATGAATGTTTCTTGTATAGTGGATAATAGCCAATTCCGAGGAAAGTCTAGTACAGTACATACAATTTGGCATAAAGTTGGGGGTCAACTTATACCTGAGGTGGACTTATAACTAAGAAACGATGGTATATATTGTACATAATTTTTTGTAATAAGGTAAAGTAATGTTTCCTTGTTTTTCCTTCTCCTACATTGAATTGAAATTAAAAATGTGGGGTGACGGTATCCCCAGTGCAACACGCTAATATGAAACAGATATTCTGCCTAATTCTCATGTGAGGGTTGTTTAAGGAGCTAGCGTTATGACCTCATCTAAAACCTAGCCCTAGCTTGGTCTGATTCGCATTTTTGTTTTTTTTTTATGCTAGAAGCATGAATATTACCAAGTTATCAAAGCAATGTTAGTAATTTCTGTGCATTGTATTTATATCTTCCAGTGACCTATAATCCACGAACTAGAGAATTCATTTTTTTAGACACACGAGGAATCACAACATGGAATAAAGACAGCGTACATAATAAAGGTAAGCAAATCTGTGGTTTAGTATCTAATAGGTTGGCATATCTAGGAGAGGGAGAATTAATGGGGAGAGGCATGAAGATGAAGTGGGGGGTGGGCTCAATGATTAAGTTTAGGGGGAGCTTGCAAGATAGGGTATTATAAGGTGATTTTTAACTACTAGAGCATTATTTTTTTGCTTCAAGCATTTCTAACGTGAAAATAACTGGGAGGGTGTGAGCTTTTTTTTTGGGGGGGGGGGGGGTGTGAGCTTTTTTGGGGGAAGGGTGGAGATGCACCCCTCTACATATCCCACTTGTGGTTTAAGGAGCTCATATTGACATGCCACAGCCCTGGGATCATGTTAAAAAAAGATCTAAAAAGTTCTGTAAAGTGTTTGTTCATTATTTTTAACAATAATTTTATATATTTTATTTAATTTTTTTTATATATATATATTTTTTTATAATAATACATTTTTTTTTCAGTGACCAGAGGCTTGAATTACCCGAAGTATCAAAATAAACTTCTAGTGAAGATAATTTATGCAAGGAAATTCAATGTTTACTTCTGTATTGCAAAAGATTTTTCATTAAAGGTAACATTTATTTTACTTAATACTGCATTAGTTATGTACAGTAGTTTCAGCATTTCATGTACACCATGTTTTGTGGTCATGAAAATAGGTTTATCTCATCTTAATTAGTACTTTAACAATAATAATAATAGAACGCTCGTGAAGTCATTCTTTAGCTTTACACTTTTCTCATAAGTACAATCAACAGAACTTGATTTTTTGTTATCATATCATATTATTATTTCTTTTTTTGCCTTGTACATTAAAACGTAAAAACATTAGAAAAGTCATGTGCATAACTATTATTATAATATACAGTACAAAATACAGATAACATTTTAACATTTTTTTTTCAGGTATTAAACATGAACTTTGAGGAGACGTGCAATGTTGATTCTGATCTAAGCTCCGTCATGTTCTTGATCTTTAACCCTGTGCGAGATGAGTTGATAACAGGAGGAGTGAAGGGAACCATGGTGTGGGAGTTCCGCCAGGATACTGACAGGGTCTGGACAGAAATCAAACCAATGGCTAATTACGCTCTGTTTTTTCAGTAAGTAAATTGCTTAGTAAAGTGTATTGGTTTAAAAAGGAAACTAAAATTATATATAGCAGGCCCGTAACCAGCTGGGAGGGGTGTTTGGGGTTCCGCCAAACCCTCCATTTTTGACCATTTTACTACTGTATCATAACTTTATCTATTAAAGAAACACTTCTGAGTTAAACTTGGACTTTAGGAAATCCCCTTCCCATGCACTTGTTACAGGCCTGCAAATTAAATGTCATCATTTTATTGTATATTCTGAAAACTTTTAAGAGGATAGAAGGTAGCCTCTTAATTATGGTGACTCGAAATGGTTAAGTTGTCGCACAGGCCAGTTTTGAGTGAATGAGCTATAAAATATGGGAGCTCAAATAACTGTCTGAAAATCCAAATTTGTTTTTCACTATAGATCATTAGTTTAATGTCTTATAATTAATCATGTCCCAAAGTATTAGTTTTGGAAGTGATCAACAAATTGTTTATTTAACGTTATTTAGATAGTTAATTCGTGTATGCACAAATAACTTTGGAAGGCAAGTACTCAAAATCGTGTTTATCTTGACTCTAAGAGTTACTGTACTTTCACTTTCCAATAACTTAGGCTTGAAATGTCCAATTTCAATGAATGACCCCTCATTTTAAAGATCACATACTCAGGCATCTGCAAATACTAATAACATGAATTTCAATTTTTGCTACAACTTAGCCATTTTGCCACAACATGCCTTATAGTTCAGTGTTAAATCTCATGACTAAAGAAATAAAACCCAGCTAGAGCAGTCACTCCATAGATTACATACCTCCGTCTTGTGTTCGAATACCGAACAATACAGGCTGTGGATGATTATTATCTGCCCTTTGCCTGAATAACAAACAATACGCAGACAGAGCAATCCATTATTTACCTTTATGCTTGGGGTAGAAAAAAATTGAATTTCTATGACCTTATCCTTTGACCATTTCTTTCAAAAATTTAATAATCTCTTCGCATATTGTGTACCATTCCTCTAAATTTTATTATTATGGTCCATTTATTAGTTTGTACATAACTTGCTAACAAACAGCGGTGAATACAAACATCCCTTTTATTTTATTTTAATTTTTATTATTAAAAACAACTCGGGTTTGGTGGAATTAATTTTATACTGCTATAAAGAAATTATAAGTATCAAATTTTGCCTTACAGGCGAGAGCTGAAGTGTGTTGGGGGAAGCTGGGTAAAGAAGATTGAGTTGGATCAACATCAGCAATACCTTTATTGCTGCTCAGATACTGACGTCATTTGCTATGACATACATGGACGACTTGTTTTTAAACTTGTCGAGTAAGTTTGTCCCATTAATTTAAGCCGGGCTCACATTATAATTATTTCAAGGAATGTATAAATGAATTATTAACTTTCTGTACCACAATTATTTCTTGCTAAGCTACAGATAGGCCATCTGTAATCTATAACTTAAAAAAAAAACTAATATTCATAATTGAATTGCTTTCTTTGGCTGTTAAATTTGGTGGTTAATCCATAAGGTCTTATTTTGTAAAACAGTTTATAGATGCATAAAAAAAAAATCTTTTGTTTCAATTTGTTTCTTATAAGTAAAGAACTTATTCAACCCTAATATAATTAGCTACTGCATTTAATAAATTATTAACTTTTTGTACCACAATTATTTCTTGCTAAGTTAAAGATAGGTCATAATAACTTTTAAAAAAAAAAGAAAAAAAAAAAAAAACAAACTAATATTCATAATTGAATTGCTTTCTTTGGCTGTTAAATTTGGTGGTTAATCCACAAGGTTTTATTTTGTAAAACAGTTTATAGATGCATAAAAAAAAAACCTTTTGTTTCAATTTGTTTATTATAAGTTAAGAACTTATTCAACCCTTTTTATAATTAGCTACTGCATTCAGTATTTAATCATTTTAGTGGTTTTCTTGCCATTGTAACAGAAACAGTAGTGGACAGCCCATTTCAGACAGAGCTGCAGTACCGCATTATTGCAGTAAGCATGCATGTGCTTCTCTCTGAAAGGGTCAATATGCCAATATGCTAGCTTACTTTAGGCCACCTTGCATCCTAGTAATATTGCCGCAATATTGCTGTAACGGTTACTGGCTTGCTCTGTCGCAAAGGGTCTACTCGATATTGAAAACAATTGCGCAGTGGTATTTTTAACCGCCAATATTACGCAATTCTATAGGACCCTTTCAGAGAGAAGAGCGTAAGATTACCGCAATATTTCAGTAACAAAGGCGCTGTGTGAAAGGTATAGACCGGTTATTATGCCGGCATGCTTACCGCAATATTGCTGCAACCTCTATCTGAAAGGGACTATAGTAGCAGTTTTAAAGAAAGTGTGGTTTCTAACTTGAAGAATTATTTTTTAATTTCTTCCCCATAGTGCACATCAATCCCAAATTACTGGATGTAAATACTCGCCTCAAGCTAAGCTGCTTGTAACATGCTCAGCAGATACGAATGGTAGGATTTCCACTGTTTCTAATAAAGTCGTTCTGATAATGATAATGTTGGTGTTGGTGGTAAAGATGAAGTATGATGATGATATTTATGTTAATGGTGGCAAAAGATAGTGATGTTGGTGGTGGTAAGGGTGATGATGGTGATGGTGGTAGCAAGGATTATGGTGGTAGTGATGATGGCTGTGAAGATGATGGTAGTGATTATAGTGGTGATACTGATGGCTGGTGGTGATGATGATGGCGGCTATGACTGTGGTAATGATGAGGATGATGTTGAAAATGACATTTACAATGACAATGATGATCATGAAGGTGATGATAGAGAAACTGACGAAAACGATGGTGATGATGACAAGGGCGATGATAAAAATGAAAATGTTGGTGATGATGATTTGTTGATAATGTTGACTTTACAAATCTTCTCTCATCTATGTCAAGTTAATTACCTAAAATTCTTTACAGTCAAAGTATGGAGTATGACTGGCGGACATGTCCATACATTCCGAGGCCATTCACGAGCAGTGACCAACATCCTGCTTCATCCAGAATCTCCATCAGTGGTGCTAACATCCTCTATGGACGGATCAGTCCGTCTCTGGTCATTAGAAATTATGGAAATGCTGTATTCGTAAGTCATGCACCAAATTACATAATTTGTCATGGCAAAATGTATTTACAAGGACCAGTATTTCGATAACTATAATATACAGTAATTAGAAAAAAATTATCATCAAAAAATGGCCTAAAAATCACTGTAAATCAACAGTTTTAATATCTAATTACTCCTGTCCCAAAGTTTTAGTTCTTGAATGGTCAACAAAACATTTATTCAACATTATTTTGGTAGTTTTTTCCATTTAACAATATATGCACAAATAAATTTTTATGGCCGTTACTCAAAATCATGTTTATCTTGACTGTGTTGTATTTTCACTTCATAATAACTGAGGCTTGAAATGTCCAAATTCAGTGAATGAACCTTCATCATAAAGATTACAGTAAATGAAATTACCAATAATTTGAATTTCCAATGTTGCCACAGTATGCCCCATTTGTATGAGAATTTACAAACAGCAGTGACAACAGTGCTTTGGCAGGGCTTTGAAATGCAAGTAAAGGTTTAAACAATTAACATTAACATTTTTTTTATGATTTTGTATTCAAAGAATTGTAGTGTCAACTGAAGGGATCCAATGGATTGGTTTGACGGGCGAGAACTATCTATGGACAGCAACTAAGCGTGATGTTAGTGTATGGCACCTGAACTACGTGGAGGAGCTTTACACATTGGCCAGGTCCAAGATCACATCCATCAAAGTGCTACATTGTGTGGGTAAAACCAGTCGGGTTGTAGCTGTTGGAGATGATAGCAGGTTAGTGTTGTGTGCAGTACTAATTTAATTATTATGTAAAGATGTGTCCACACTATCAAATTTTCTTTTACAAATAACTGTTGTATGCCCATATATCTGACCGGCTCTGGCAAAGCCCTCCGTTTGTCGCAATTTTAAATTTCCCACAATTTTAAATTTCCCACAAGCACCCAAAACGTTCGAGATATCAAATTTTGAAAATTTTCTTGTTTTTTGTTTTTAGATTTTATAAAATTTTGAAGAACATTTCTATAAAATATCAATCACTAAATCTAACTGAAATGTGTATTAAAATTAATTTAAAAATACAAATCGTAATAATAAACTATTTATTTTGGAATCTCTGGAAGCTGTTTTCTGAAACCTACATGGCTGATATCCAATGAAATGAATATTTATTCATAATGAATATGTTATAACTTCGGTAATACTCAATCAATTTCCATTAAACAAACACTGTTTTAAAGAAGACTTCATGCAGAATTTCAAAACACCAAAAACTCAATTTTGAATTTTTCCTACAAATTGAGGGTTTTCCCAGAGGTGGTCACATATAGTCATGATGTGCCCATCAAAAATTCTGCGACACGTATTCTAACACTTACTTTTAGACGCTCACATATATAACCGGTCCTTTATGATTTACATTGGCTTTGTATTGAATCGCGTATCAAATATGAAATTCTGTTTAAGAAACGTTCAAAGCACTTTTTCACAAACAACCAATTTTACTTGTTGATCTCATTCATGCTTATGTCCCACCTACTTGCCTCCGTTCTTCAGATAAAAATCTTTTAGTTGTTCCTCGAATTAACACCAAAACATTTGGTTATAGATCATATTCATTTTCTGCTGCATCCCTTTGTAATTCATTGCCCAAACATACTATCGAATCACCATCAGTTGTTGTTTTTAAGACTTAAGACGCACCCTTTTACCATCTAAATGTTAAGCGCCTTTGATTTTTACTTCGGTATAGCTGAAATTGGCGCTATATAAATTATTATTATTATTATTGTTATTATTATTATTATGATCATAATATGATGGCATCATGATGATCATAGGCATTTCACATGTTTTTTCATCAAATTTAATTCAATAATCTGAACATTAAAATATTTTCATTGATGTGTGATTTTTTTAAAAGGCCATTTTTAAGCTTTGAATCAATTTTTTTTTTTGTAAAATAACATGCATGTTTTAAAACTATATCATACCATGTTGAACTCAAATATTATATAATTTTGTTTGTATAGTATACGATTAGTGTCCATCAAGCATCGCAAAAACCTGTCCACTGTGCTTCCACCTCCCAACATCTCGCCATTGGAGAAGCTCTTAGGAATGGCATATAATAGGGAATATAGTTTGGCCTACCTGTTAGTAACACCGTTGGAAATATGGGTGTACACAATGAGGTAATGTAGCGTAATGTATAAAAATTTGCTATAGCGATAAACAATTAATTCTCAATGTGCTAGTTTGAAGTGAAAAAGAATTTATGATGAAAAAATGATGTGTTTGTGTAAGGTAGTTAAGATAATTAGGTATAACTGATCAATGAAAAAGTTCCTTATCAGTTGTTGGAGAAAGTGCCCCTGGCAGGAATTAAACCAACCATCTTTCACTGTCGAGGCGAATGTCATACCACTAACCACGATGGTGATTGGTATATTGCAGATACAAACTAGGACTCTTCTAGTATACAGTACCCTTCTGATTTTTATTGCCCTCACAAAGTGGCCCTGGTAAGCTAGCGAGTTCTCTAGAAGTCTCAGCTTTATTATAATAAAGTGACATATTAAATAAATGTTGCTGTGTAGCACTGTGGTATATAAATCAAGTATGGTAGAAAAAGTGCTGTAATATAGGAACAATAATGAAAACATCAAATTGGGCATAGGTTTTTAACAAAAAAATTCCTTATCAGTAGTATGAAAAAGTCCCCTTGCATGAATGGAACCCACGGTCTCTTGCTGTAAAGGTGAGTGTCATACCACTTGACCACAAGGGCCACTGTTAAATCACAGATACAATCCAACCAGACCACTCCCTCAAACAGCTGGTATGTTCCATCATATTTGTATGGGTCGCGTTGAGATAATTGTGTATTTTGTTTTTTGTAGGACTGACCCAGCTTGTCGCATAGCCATTTGGGATGTCTGCCGTGTACAGGATAAGATACAACGGTGTCAGTCTGTTAGCACCGCTACAACTCCTCTACCAGGGTAAGTGTAGCTCTATCTGCACACATCTACCTTGATACCTTATGGATAAAATATCACTACTCAATACACCTGGCCAAATCACTTCCCTAACACCTGGCCACTAGATGACTGCCCTAACACCTGGCCAGTAGATGACTACCCTGACACCTGGCCAGTAGATGACTGCCCTGACACCTAGCCAGCAGATGACTGCCCTGACACCTGTTCAGTAGACATCTACCCTGACACCTGGCCAGTATATCACCACACACACAGTGGCCAGACTGCCTGCACCTGGCTAATGAATCACTGCACAGACACCTTGGCAGTAGGTAACTACCACAATATCTGCCCATTAGGATAACAACATTTTATAGGATAATATCTAAATTTCTTAAGCAGCTATTTTTATCATGATTCATTAAAATCCCTCTGATAAATGTGTTGTTATTCATCATTTTTATGTGTATCTTTGTCATTATTTTTTTTTTTTTTTTAATTCTTGTCTTATGATTTAAAAGCCTGTCAGTGGTGATGAACTTTCAATGTTGGTCTAAATGAGTAAATAAATATTACACATGTTTTATGTCGTAGGCAAGAAAGGTCTGCTTCACCACTGACAGCAAGATGGAGGCAGAACCAGGAGAGCTCACCTACTACTTCTAGGGCGGAGTGCACTTCACTGACCATCCTCAACAAGCCTATCATGTATAAAGGAGAAGAAGGCTATGTCTGCCCAGTCAAAACAAATTTCCTAGTGCTAGGAATGCAGGTAAATGCAGATAATTGTGCAATAAAAAAACAGAAACAAATATCATCTTTTCGAACAAACTGACATCCTGTACTTCTTATCACCAAATCTTGTAGCTTATGGTAAAAAATGTTTAGGCCTGCTAATAAAATAGTTAATTTTTACACTACAGTTGAACTTGCCTAAGTCGAATCCAAAATGCCATTGAAAAATTGTTCGACTTAGATAAAATTCGACTTACAGATGGTTAATTAATGGAAAACACAACACTTTGACCTGTAAAATAATTTGACTATTATTCGAGTTAGGCAAAGGCAAGCTTAACTGTAACTAAATTATTAGTGTTTTATTCTATATATACTGTACATCTGTTAAATGAGGGAATGCCAAACTCTGTAGAAGTATTGTGAATGCTTTTAAACTGCTTCTGGCCATTGATTATTTTAATAATAGGTATTGTCAAGTTGTATTGTCCATGTATATTGGTTAAATATATAAAATGAAAACTAAAACAAGAATTTAGCTTGTTCTTTTATAACACAAATGAATACCCTATATTCTTGCATACGGTACTGCATGCTTTAAATCTTTGTTATCTTTTTTTCTTGTAAAATGCCGTAAATCAATAAAAACTGAATTGTTTTGATATATTTATCATTTGAAGTCCGTAACTTTAACATGTTGACTGCCAAGCCTTTTTTCCAAGTTTCATCCCGTACGCCAAGGTGTAAAAGGCGCCACCTTAGTTAAAATCATTCTCAACTATGTCGACTAGATTATCTACTTGATGTCGACAATAGTTTCGACGTGAACGGTCAATTACGGCGAGATAAAGTTCATAACTCGACGATGGCTGTTAGCTCGACTAACTTGTAAATCCAGTCATCGTCGAGTTGATAACGCACCACGGGTGGCCTCAGGTCACGAATACACCAATCAAAACGAAGCCGGTTGACCCTTAGCAAGCTTGCTTGTTTGTACGTTAGTTTATTTTGATCGTTCGAGAGAGAAGGTTTTTCAGTGTAGGCCTAGCTTAGATCTTTATATCAATTATGACCGAGAAAGTACGCCAAAAGCGACATTGTTGGACTTATGAAGAAGAATTCGATCTTATTGACATTTGGTGGAAGATAAAATGTAGACAAAAAGCTACCATTCATGAGCAAACGGCTGTACGAATGCGTGATCTTGGTCACACCGGGATCACAACCGCCGCTCTCGTGAGCGTAGTTGGTCCAGCAAGGTATCTCGACATAATTCGGACCATCGAACGCAATTAGGAGTGTAGCGCTGTTCAATAGTTTATCTACTTATGTCGACAATAACCGATGTGAACCAAGCTAGTGGCCAGACTGCCTGCACCTGGCTAATGAATCACTGCACAGACACCTTGGCAGTAGGTAACTACCACGACATCTGCCCATTAGGATAACAACATTTTATTGGATAATATCTAAATTTCTTAAGCAGCTATTTTTATCATGATTCATTAAAATCCCTCTGATAAATGTGATGTTATTCATCATTTTTATGTGTATCTTTGTCATCATCTTTTTTTTTTATTATTCTTGTCTTATGATTTACAAGCCTGTCAGTATTGATGAACTTTTGATCGACCAACTTATGTTGGTCTAAATGAGTAAATAAACATTACACATGTTTTATGTCATAGGCAAGAAAGGTCTGCCTCGCCACTGACAGCAAGATGGAGGCAAAACCAGGCGAGCTCACCTACTACTTCTAGGGTGGAGAGCACTTCACTGACCATCCTCAACAAGCCTATCATGTATAAAGGAGAAGAAGGCTACGTCTGCCCAGTCAAAACAAATTTCCTAGTGCTAGGAATGCAGGTAAATACAGATAATTGTGCAATAAAAAAACAGAAACAAATATCATCTTTTCGAACAAACTGACATCCTATACTTCTTATCACCAAATCTTGTAGCTTATGGTAAAAAATGTTTAGGCCTGCTAATAAAATAGTTAATTTTTACACTACAGTTGAACTTGCCTAAGTCGATCCAAAATGCCATTGAAAAATTGTTCGACTTAGATAAAATTCGACTTACAGATGGTTAATTAATGGAAAACACAACACTTTGACCTGTAAAATAATTTGACTATTATTCGAGTTAGGCAAAGGCAAGCTTAACTGTAACTAAATTATTAGTGTTTTATTCTATATATACTGTACATCTGTTAAATGAGGGAATGCCAAACTCTGTAGAAGTATTGTGAATGCTTTTAAACTGCTTCTGGCCATTGATTATTTTAATAATAGGTATTGTCAAGTTGTATTGTCCATGTATATTGGTTAAACATATAAAATGAAAACTAAAACAAGAATTTAGCTCGTTCTTATAACACAAATGAATACCCTATATTCTTGCATACGGTACTGCATGCTTTAAATCTTTGTTATCTTTTTTTCTTGTAAAATGCAGTAAATCAATAAAAACTGAATTGTTTTGATATATTTATCATTTGAAGTCCGTAACTTTAACATGTTGACTGCCAAGCCTTTTTTCCAAGTTTCATCCCGTACGCCAAGGTGTAAAAGGCGCCACCTTAGTTAAAATCATTCTCATCAACTTTATTGAAATACAAACAAACAAACAGTATTTATATTTAAATCAATACTTCCAAGTTTTTCACTGAATCTCCTGTGAGAGAGTTCACGTTCTAGCGACCACTGCCATAGAGATTACATTCAATACAATAGTAGTATCTTTAGACAGGTGTGGAAATGAACTTTGTCGGCCTCAGTAAAACCTGTGGGACGTGAACTTGCGTCCCTCACAGCAAACGTGTTAATTGAGCGATTCAATATTATGTATTAAAGTGAATGATATTCTTCAGACTTTGCCTTTGTTTTAACAGTAATGTTTTTTTATATGTTTTTTTTTTTTAGGATGGACGAATTCTTTTTATGGATCCCATTAAATTTGCCTTGAATTACTATGAATTCAAAGCATACAAAGATGCAGTAAGTATTTTGAGCCATGAACTGAAAAAATATTATAGAACCTACTAACACTGGAGTAATTAGTACAGAATTTTGTGCTTTCAGATCCTCAATGTGAGGTTGAAATCCCGCTGCTGTCCTTTCTGCCTATTAGTCCTTGTCAAGGCATTTTATCCCTTTGTGAATATTTTCATTCATCCAGTAAATATTTAATTATGTTAGTATTTCAATATTATTAACATTGACGTTTTGTCCAACACTGCTGAACTTCTTCAGACAGCTGACCCGTTGGATTGGTCGCAAGTCAGGCGGTGAGGAATGATCCGCAGCTCCGGGTCCCAAGTCCTGGATAGTTGAAACCTTTTCTATGTTTGATTCATTAATGGTAGGATTTTCCTTTCTGGGTGTGTTGCACTGCACTGATGCAAAACTTGTAATAACCGTTCAAGAAGTGGAGGAATGTGTACTCACACTAGATCTAAAGACCAGTGGTTGTTATATTATAAGTACTTTAGAATTTAAAAGACACTAAATTTATATTGAATATAAATATTCTTCAGATTTTGGAAATAAATGTGGACGAAGCACATTGTCTCCTCACCACCAAGTGCAAGTCTCGCACCGGTGCCATGTTCCGATTTTGGGATCTCCCAAGCTTGACCCTGAAATATGAGGTCAATACAGACGAGGACACCATTGCCTATGCACTACTAGTAAGTAGGACTTATTTGCTCAACTTTTGAACGCTGTAACATTGCTGTTTATTTTCATATTATTATTATTTGACCTAATACTATTCAGTTCAAGTGAAATTTAAATGTATTTTTTGTCTTGTAATCTTTTTAAGAGTATGTGTTTTTAAACCTTTTAACAAAAATATACATTAAACAGAAGTAACATAAGTATTACAAATATAAAAATAGCAGAAAAAACTTGCGCTGGGAGTGGGAAACAGCAATCAATCAATCAATGGATTTATAAGTTAAAAGCACATCTAAAATTCAAAACACAGCAAATTTTGTAAAATAAAACCAACTGTCAATCGGTGACTAGCATTTTTTTTTTTTTTGAAAACTGTTAGCCACCATCTTGTTAAATGTTTAGTTTTATTCAAGCTTTCAGTGATGCTTATAAATTATATTGTATTTTTTTTTTTTAGGTGTTTGTAATAACTGATTTTACGAGTGCCAAATTCATGCATTAGTTATAGCCAACTGGTTTATATAGCCATGCACTATTTATTGTATTTATTAATCAATCAATCCCAATCACCAATCAATAATAAATCAATCAAATCTGCCTGCCACTGGCATTGCAGCCCCAACTGCAGCATGAACATTTTATGATTAAATGTAATTGTCTTTAAAATGTTTGTCTTTAAAATGTTAAATTGAGTGACAATATCCAATACAGTAACTACACCATACATTTTTAAAAACTTTTTTTTATATTTTACCTAAATGTTTTGTTGTTTTTCGATATACTGTACCATTTTCAATATTAGTATTCTTGTACTACGTGCTTTTGCTTTTACATGACCAATAAAAGATCTGTATTCTGTATTTTGTTTTTGTAGGATGATGTATTCTTAACAGGTCATGTGACTGGCCATATAGCTCTTTACAAATTGCTTGAGCTACATCAACCCACAACAAAGTTATACTATGGTAGAATGGAAACAGTTGCGCACCCACATCAAAATGAGCTGGTTCAGTCCAAGGTAGAACACATAGGGGCCGTAGTTGCTATTGATTCATGTCCTGAATTACAGATCTTCGTCTCATGCGGGTAAGGAAATCCCCCATTATTATGATTTCAACTGTTATATTATTATTTCCATTATAACTATAAAATAACATCCTTTTTGAATGTACTTATACTTATTTTGTTCCAGACATTTGTTGTCATTGGAAGTTAAAAAAAAAGATAATTATTACATTGACTATATTGTCCAAAAGTGGCATCAAAGCCGCCCATCTTCGTAAATCTAATTCAATTCAATTCCGAAATACATTTATTGACCAAATTAAACGGGTGAATTTAAACAAAAGAATTAAATCAATTCAATTGACACAAAGGAGAAGATAAAGCAGTTTAGTCAAGAGACTACATATTGACCTAATAGTTGGCTTGTCTCTCCCTTTTAACAAAACAGAAACATTCATAAACTGAGACAATACTCCCAGCTTCTTTCTAGCACTGGCTATGAAACTCAGCTCTACATTGAAGTTGGCACAAGGGACTAAACATCACCTCAGAATGCAGCGGGCTAAAGAAGATTCTCAAATTATGCACAATAATGCAATTTGTTTTAAATTTAAATGTAATGATCTCAATTTATCATTTATTCTATTGATAATAACCAACTTTAATCAGTTCTTTCCTTTTCTCTCTAACAATACTGCTGGGTCTGATTTTTGAATGTCTATTTTTATAGCATGTTTTTTTTTTTTTCTGTATTAATGTCTATAATTCATGATTGTCTTTGTTTAACTACCTTGTATCGAACTTGACATCTGATTTTTTGATTTTCTCAAAATGTTAACTTGTAACTTTGGATTTTTAGGGAACAAATGACATCTGTATTAAACCCTTGTTAGCCTCTGGAAAATAATGTAAAGTATTCGCGCTATTAAGTTTTCTGTGGCAAATATTTGTGATTTGGCCATATATGTGCATAATGGTGTCACAAGCACACCCAAATAAGGCAAAATGACAATGATATTGTTATAAAGGCCTTCAACCGATGATGACGATTTAGATTTTTTTTGCATCACAATTTCTAATGATTTATCTTTGTAGTGAGGATAATGTTGTAAAAACTTGGGACAAGAATAAGACAGTACTTACTGAGGTCATCCTTAATGAACCAATCAGCGCTGCTCATTTTCTCAATGTGAAAGGAGACCTTCTGATTGGTTACAAGAATCATTTATTCACCATTCATCATACCAAATGTAAGTTATCTTTAAGATGTGAATTACTGTACATTTAATAAAAACAGAAGAGCGATTTGAAAACCACCTATTTTTTAGTCACTAAATTTCGATTGCAGTCGAAAATGGGAATTCTCGGTTTGAGGTCAATTTCGACTACAGTAGAAGACGGTATCTTGAGGGTTAAGATGTGAATTACTGTACATTTTTAAAGCACATTTTTATTCCTTGTGACTTAAATTTTCATTGCTTGCTTTGTGCTAATATGATATGTGGCAAGGACAAGCCAAACCAGTCACTCGTCGCAAAAATCGATTTTGAGTTATTACTACAGTGTTAGAGAGTAAAATAATAGCTATAAAATGGTAAAAAAATCATTCAAATCGGACATTTCCTTATGAAGTTACAAGCCTTTAACCACACAGCTGTTTAAAGAAAAATATACGAGAAATTAACCGTCAAAGTTTATGATTTCAGGCATTTCTCATGCAGAAACTATCTTTAAATCCTTAAAAAATATTGTTTTAACATTGAAAATGTCGAAAAATAACAGCATAGAATGATGTGTAGATATATAAAGGTTAGTTTAGTGCAATAAAATAGATTTTTAAAACTTTGACATTCCAGCATGTTTTGGCCATTTTCTCTGAAACACGATTTGCGACGAATGACTGGTTTGGCTTGTCTTTGCCACATATTGGTCTTATCACATACTAATATACCTTACAAAATCATATAGATGATTAATTCATTATTGGCCCATATCCAGATTTTAAACAACAGTTAGGGGCCTGTGGTGTCTACAGCTGGACTGTGAAAATACCTGGTAAAATAAATTTCAGAAGTTTATCCTTTTAAGATGTAAATATAGCACAACACTGTAAATTTTATGTTTTGAAATGGAAGTTCGCTATCAATTATTTAATTGTTAATATGAGATTAGGGTGGTTATTACAGAGAAGGCGAAAGATTATGTTTGCTGTAAAAAGAAGTATTTTTTTCAACTCTTTCTTCTATTGGCCTTAAATCATTTCCAAATTAATTTTGAAACACTACAATTTTAAACGAACTGGTAATTATGATAGTTTTTTTTTTACTTTTTAAAGGAATATGAGTTTTATCTGTTCTAATTCCTTAATTTATTTTTTGAAGGCGTCAATCATAATTCAATTGTTGTTTCATTTTCAGTGTTGTCTCAAGATTTGAATTCAGCTTCCATTGGCAGCTTTGTCGAATCAGGTAAAGATAAATATCGTATAAAACAAGGAATGTCTGAAAGCAGATCATAGAGTCTCAATAGACTTTGTAAATACAATTCCTGAGGCATGCCATCCCTAAATATTAAAATGTGACAGCTAGTGTACTGTAATACTTCATACTTAGCGGCTGTAATACTGTACTTTACTCATAGCTGGTGTATCTAGTAGTCTTGAAGTGGAGGGGGGTGTGTGGAGCTGATGGGGAGTGCAAAGGTGAAATGGGTAGCGGGTGGGGGAAGCTTGATGATTGAATGAGGGAGCTAAGTTATGCTTCTTGACCATATAGTAGACATATTTTTAAACATAATAATTATACTTTCCAGAGGAATATATGCGGAGATATAGAGACCATTGGTTTTTATGATAGCCATTTTGAAGTCCAAGATGGCCACCATAATGACCTTGGATGCAATGTTTCCTACGAAAAATAGAATGTCATGTTCAGGAGCATATAAAAACTGTTTAGTGCATTTAATTGTCTGAAACATCCACTTTCTTCTGCAAGCTGCCTGAATATTTACTGTTTGTTCTCTTAAAATGTATTGTGTATTGAACATTGATCATCATGTGATCTTTTTTTTATATTTTGTATGATTGTTGTAGAATCTGATATCTATGAAGACCCTGCTGTGAGGTTTGAAGGAGTTTCTGCAAATCCTGATCCGCTTAACATGGAACGATACCTAGTGAGTCAACCATAGTATAAAATACTGTTTGTATTATACTTAGTTGAATTTACTGAAAATTATTGTCTGCATTTATATAATAATGGAAGGTTATACATTTGCAGGATACGAGATGATTGTATACTTCTTATTCTTTAAGTATCAAGTATCGAGTATACTTGGCAAAAATGAAGAACAGAGAGGATGAAATGAAATCGAAAAGGGTGTTCAAAATAAGCAAATCGGCCTATTTTAAAATAATACACATAAATATATTATGCTGTTTTACTCACACATTAGCACTACATATTGTGTATTACAGATCATAAAGTATCTAGCGGCAGTTTGGCACAGCAGTTGACATTGGGCTCTCAATCGTAAGATTGGAGGTTCGAGTCTCCGCTGTGCAGATTCGCTTGTGTCCTTGGGCAAGGCACTTTAGGTACATTGCTTCAGTCTACCCAGCTGTATCAATGGGTACCAGCAAACTGCTGGGGACTAACCTGCGACGGACTAGTGTCCCGTCCAGGGGGAGTACAACTCTCATCCGCTTCACACTACAGAAACTGGGGATAAGCTCCAGCCCTCTGAGCCCCAGTGGCTCGGAAAGGATTTAGTTTTTACACATCATAAACATGAACGCAAAAAGAAATTTTATTCAATTCTGTTTTTTGTTTGTTTTTTGTTTTCATTCCACAGGTTCCTTACAATTTGGACTTCAGCAATAAATTTCTGGAAGGAGAGAGTTCAGAATCTGAGAAGGCATCAGATGAGGTATATCATATTATTTAAAAAAAATTATGAACCCATAACTTTACAAGATGACAACCACCAACCACTGAAAAACTGGGCATTGTGGTGGAGTGATATTGTTTCCCAAACTGTGGTCGATATCTGTGGAGTGTGTGACGCAACGTGTTAGATATTGAATTTCTGATCGGGAGTTTAAGACCGACGCTTGTCGCATTGCTTGTGGCCTTAGGCAAGACACTTCACTTACGTTTTTTTCTCTCTTCACCCAGGAGTATAAATGGGGGGGGTCATGCTGTTAACCTGCTCGTCGATGACACTGCTACGACTGTTCCAGTAAATTAATAACAGCAACTAGAATTGATTATACGTGATTATTCGCTGAAGGAAGCTACATTAAGAACAACTGTGTAGCTCCTGTGATTCATACGAATGAAAGAACGATTGAATCGGCGATGCTTATTTAAAATGATGTGATCCCACAAAACCCAAAATCACAAAATATTAATAATACTTTTAAAAATTATTTTTCTATATTTTATTAATGATAAGGTTTGCTGTTTTGTATAATGTTTGGCCATTGGGTCTTTCATAAATAATTAAAATTATTTATTTATTTATTTTTTTTTATTCGGCTTTACACTGGCAACAGTACAAAAATATATATATAAATAGAAATTCCAGTGAGAGAGCGTATAAACAGGTGCAAGCACCTCTAACACGACACGCTCTCCAAATGCACAAAACCCAACGGCAAATACATAAAAAAATTTTATTTCTCAAAATAGTAACTTGTGTTTTGGTCTGGCATATAAAAAAAAAGACCCCAGATTTTTAAAATCATTTATTTAGTATCTATAGTAATATGAGTTAATTTTTCTCAACACTTTTTTCTATTCTTTAGGAATATGAAGAAGATTCTGACAGTGATATGTCATTGGCTCCAACTGAAGTCTACATATCACCAAATGGAACTCCACGCTGCCTGTCGTTTGTAGACATGATCCTAAATAGTGATTTAAATGAACATGACATCAAGACCAGATGGGTAAAATGTAAATACATTCTTTTTTTTAAAAATTAATATAATTACCCACTTTGGCAGCTTTCGGCCACCTTCATGTTTGGTGAAACTTGGCCCTGGAGGAGGTCTTTGGAGTTTAATGGCCTATACAAAATATCTAGGAATGGTGTTACATTACTTACACAGTGGTGGACCACATAAATTACAAGTAAATTTTCAAAATTAGTGCAAATCGGCTATTCCATGGAAAAACAACATAACTTGAAATTTTCACTTTTCGAGAAAAATAGAAGTTTGCATGTTTGCAACTTGGGAATGAATTGTCGTAACCCTTCTGAAATTTTACATGACTATATATCTATATAGACATATGATTATATGTAAAATTTAATTACAGCCGTTGGTTTATTGAAAAGTTATTAATGATATTCAAAATTTATCACGCCAGGGGCAATCCATATGCATTTCTAGCTTGTGCATACGTCATTGTTACAATTATTGATATGAAAACACCATCAACAAGATGGTTTTGCTGTGCCCCCATCAGCTCAAAATAACTTTTTAATTCCATTCCGAGGTAAAACAATATATTTTATCTTATATAAGTTGTTTTGCCACGTAATCTGGCAATTACGTTGTTTTGCCACGGAAAATCACAGGATTTTAAGTTTTGTGCTTAAAGATAGGTGGCGCTATCTCCAAAACGACTCATTGTTGAGACCTGAATTTTCCCAGTTAATTCATAAGTGTTTAATACACTTCCAAATGATATTATCTCGAAATCGACAAACATGTCAGTTACGTTGTTTTGCCTCTGGGCGGTCAAAATGTGAGCGCAAGATACACTGTTAGTGAACCATATAATGCTAAATTTAAACACAGAAAATGCACAATTAAAACATTTAATTGACATGAGGAGGTTGAAGCGTTTAAGGTCATTGAATTTGCGTACAGTGCATACCTGTATCTCTGCAACCCTTGATGGTTCATTACTGTTTATGTTCTGTTACTTGGCAAGGAAAATATATTTTTTTTTCATTTTAATATAAACATAGAAGAATATAAAAAATTAAGCAGCTTGAATATTGTATTTATGTTTTGGTATTTTTTAAATATTTGTATTAGCTCTATGCAGACAGTATAACTCACTGTATTTTTGTTTCTCTTTTTTTTAGTAAAAATGGAAAAGAGTAATCTAAGGAAGAAGGAAGTCGATGACATCAAAAGTGGATTGGAGGACATTGAAATGCCAAAGTTTGGCACTTCGCCAGGTCCATCTCCAACAGTAACACCACCCTCTACGCCAGAGTTTAGCTCATCATCCGAGGTAAACCAAAGTCAGTTGTCGAGAGAGCATCTGAAAACGAATACTAATAATCCCAAATTCGAAGAAGCCTTTTCAGGATTTCTGTTTAAATGTTTGTTTTTTTTGCAAATATCGTGGAAGATTGGTTATTTTTTTGGAGATTCCTGTTTGCTCATGGGAGTGCGGAAGGCCTGCTAAGAGATACAGTGTGCTGACATTGGCATAACTGGGTCAAAGATTTTCACCAATACTTAGGGAGTATTGTGCTGGAATTTGTTGTGTGTGCACAACACCAATTATAGTGTGTCCATTGCCACAGGTACTCATTTTCTGCTACCACTTAGGTAAAGCACTGATGTCTAATTTGTGAATACTTACCTGGGTAAACCAACTATAATTCCCATTGTTTCCAAAACAGATCACCCCTTTGAATAGTTGGATCTCTAGGGAACTTGGATTATTGTTAGGCAGATGGTTCGTACATGGTGCCCTGCGGACGTTCCGTAGCAAAACAACATAACTTGAAATTTTCACTTTTGGAGAAAAATATAGTTGAAGTTTGCATGTTTGCAACTTAATAGTAAATTGTTGTACTCTTTTTGAATTTTGCAGGATTGTATATCTATAGACATTGTGATTATATGTCAAATTTTAATTACAACCGTTTGTTTTTTGCAAAGTTATTAGCGGCATTTACAGATACGCTGTTTTGCCTCGGAAAGATGTCAGGCTAGGTATTGTTGCAAGTGCAACATATTTTTGGATATTATTTGAAAAATCGACAAAAACGTCAGTTACATTGTTTTGCCTCAGGCATTCGATGGCGTGTTCCCGTTTTAGGAACAAATGGCAATTAGTTGGTTATCAAGGTAAGTATCTCACTCATAGACTACCAACATCAAAATTGATTTGTGTAATTTAAATGAAAAGTCATATTAGGTTGTCATGGAGAGATGAAGCATTTTAATAATGCCTTCAACTTGCAGTGACCTTAACAAGGTCATTTAACTTGCAGTGATCTCAACAGCTAATGAATATAAATGTCTTTTTTGTATCTCATATAAACTTCTTTTGTTTAGGATGAAGATGAAACTGGTGATTTACAGGAAGATGAATCATTGAGCCCTGTAGACACCCAGTCTCTAGCTTTAGGTAATTTGAAAAGCATTACAATACTGTACCTTCATCCAAAATGGTGGTGCTGCTATTGTGAATAATGATGAGGATGAAAATGTGGGTGTTAACAATGATGATGGTGATGATTCTTATAGTTGTAGATCATCAATACACTGTTGATGCTGATGTTTACTACATGTTCAATAATTAGGTTTAATATTAAAGCCAAGCTCTGGAAGAACAGTTTTTTTTTTATAAATATTTTGTACAACAGATTTGTTTGTTTCAATATTTAAACCTGGGTTGAAAAGGGCCATAACCAGCCTTTTTACACTTTCTCAACCAGTTTTTAAATTTTCGAAAACCTGTATGTAAATAAATGTTTCAGAGTTTTTTTTTTTAATCGAGCACATTTTTTTTATCAGTTGTACAAGATACTTTCTCCAGAGCCTGGCTTTAAGATTATGTTCTTAATACATTGATTGCCTGAACCATTTACCTTCAGATTTTAAGTCATTGATTGAAGTGCAGCAGCCTGAACCGCTGCCTGTTAAGAAAACACCTGAAGAGAAGCCAGCATTGGAAGAGGTTTCCAGGTTTAGTCTCTCCAGGTACAAGATTGATGCTAACTCATTGATGAAGGATTCTAAGGATTTTAAACAACCCGTCGCTAAAGAGGTACTGTAATTTGAAGAGGATCTTGCAGTTGTACTAGTTGAGAGTTATAATATGATTGTGTTACATACTGCATAGGTTTTTGTACACTTTTGATTTTGTACACCAGTCATTAAATCAGTGGCATATTAAGAATGTGTAATAGTCAGCTCTCTTGATGGGGTATCCATAAGGTTGCAAATAGTGAAGAGAGCATCTTATAATGGATCTTAGCGATATGCTCCGCCCCAGGCATGTTGTCACTAAGGTCCCTCAAAACGAAAGTGAAAAACATACACAAACGTGTGTATGTGTGTCAAACAAGCACTTCATCCTTGCCCAGTGCTGATTGGTCAGTTAAGTTTGATTGACATTCTGACAAAGCAAAATTTGTGCACTGGCAGTGGACCTTTCTGCTAAGCTCCACCCCTTAGATATTGTAACTAAGGTCCCTCAAAACGAAAGTGTAAAACATACACAAACATGTGTGTATGTGTGTCTGGTCAAACAAGCACTTAATCCTGGCCTAGATTGATTGGTCAGTGAGGATTGATGGACACTCTGAAATAGGTCAATTTCTGATAGAGGCACATCCGAAACTGTGGCCCAAAGTTAAAGAAATCATAATCACTAGTTAACCCACTTTATAACTGGATTATAAAATTTGATATTATTCTTTTATGTAAACGCTGTTCTAATACACACATAGATCATAATAAAGTACTGAAGGTATTGTGGTACTACATTATGGTGCGACAGTAATATCTAATAGATCGCCAACACTAATTTATGATAACATATTTTTAATTTACTCATTTTTTATTTAAATTTGTATTTTTTATCTTTCATTTGGTACTGTTCCAATTTGTGACTAGACTGCGAGTTCTCAGCAAAAGAATAAAACAGTTGCAAAGAAAGAAGAAATCATAGAAGTAAGTAACAGATAATCATCAAGGAGTATGTTGGTCTTCTAAATTTAAATAGATTATGATAGAGAATGAGCTGACTGGTGTTGTGCAGCAAAGAAAATATTCAACAGAAATTAGTGGAAATAACCAATTGATTAAAACTGCTGCATCTTTTACTTGCAGAAACCCAGTTCAGCTTCTAGAAGAGTTATTCAGAAAAAGAAACAAAAAGTGAATAAAGTTCTGGTGAAGGAGAGAGTTCAGTCATCAACCAAACAGAGAACACCTTCAAATGCTGAAGTGGAAATGTCTAGATTAGAACCTGATAATGCTTCTTCTGAAGATGTATGTGTTACATGTAGTTATTACTATGCAGTTTATTAAATGCCTACCATGTATATTTGTATTAACACCTGAAAAACTACAAGGTTAACTTCCTATGTAAATAAAATATAATTAATGTAAATAATAATTACTTGAGTAGTATATAATAGAAATTTAAAAAAGTTAGATGCACATACTGCAAACTTGCATACAACATCAGATTTGAAGAGCGCATGATTATATACAAACCTACAAATTAAAAAAAAAACAATAAGGTAGCATTGAATAAAAAGTATGTTGATTTTTCGATGTCAGTTTGTCAATATTTTTATTTTTATGTTTTCACAAAGCAGTTGCCTATGAAGGAAGAAATCGAAGTAACAGAGGGCATAGACGAAGTCAAAGATGTACCCACGGAAGAAAGTTATACAGAAACAAAGAAGGTCCGTTCTATTCAGTTCTCAGACCAAGCTCTCCAACCAAGTGATTCCCAACTTACATCTGCACCAGAGTTAGTTCCTTCAGAAAAATCATTGCCAAGAAGTCATAGCAGCAACTCCAAGAGTAGTGAAGTATCTGGTGGAAAGAAGTCTTCTATGTTTAGCAGTTGGAAAAAGAAGAAACCAACGTCTGCAGTTAGTGGCACTGATCTCAGTGAGGTATAATATAAAAAATATGCTCTTTATTCAAAACTTGATTGGTGGAAAATATCAATATTAACCTGCTTTATACTCGCTACTCTGATACTTGTACTGTTCATTTAAAATGCACCTTTCCCTTTTGAATGCAAGTCTCCACCAAGAAAATCTTTGGTGATTATTACAAATAATACTAAAGCAACACACTATTAATTTTATGTGAACTGCCCATGGGTATGATGTATTGTCATCATGCCCATATATGGGCAGATGAATTACATATGTTACATAAAATTTAAGTGTGTATAGTACTTTAGTCAGCACAGAGATATACAGTCATCAACAGAAACAACCACAAAGAAGGATACATGAAAGTATGCTTGCCTCCCATTTCTAAGAACCATGGCCTCTAATCCAGCCAAGACAGAATTTGTTTAATCACAATGAAGAACAACTCCAGGTTATGAACCTCACATTCACACTTGACAAAACATCACAGATTTTTTAGAAATTCACATATGTTAATACGTTAGATGCTTTACCATAATAAACCTCAGTCCCACAAGAAATATTTTACTTGTTTTTTTTTTTACTGTTGTGCAGCTGTTCGTAATTGTACACAATTTCATATTTATAATGTAAATTTAAATTTTTGATATGTCTTTATTTCTGAAGATGAAAAAATAAAGTTCATGACGCTTTGAATTACATTCTTTGGACATGGTTTTAACTGTCCTATAGGATTCAGAGTCTGATGATTCGACCAACATCACCATTCCAGATGGAAGCTTGATAGTAGGTGTCACACCTCGATCACCTAAGGAAAAACTTAGGCATGGAGCGACTTCAAAACATGGAGAGAAGTCAAAACATGAAGAGAAGTCAAAACATAGAGAGAAGATAAAGCATGGCGAAAAGTCAAAAAATGAAAAGAAGGCACCAAAATCTTCAGCAACTGGTAATTTCAAATTCATATTAAGCTCATTTTAGACATTTATATACCACATACAGTATACTAACTCTCTGTGTTAAGCTAAAAACTTAAAAAAAATAATAATAATAATTAAAAAAAATAATAATAATAATACAGTACTAATAAATAATAATGTTATAGATTTTTAAACATACTTATTGTTGGGAAGTGGAGTTTTGGTGGTTAAGATGCTTGCTTTCTTTTCCTATGGTTCTGGGTTCAATTTCAGTCAATATTACTTTTTTATAATCTTTTTGTCTGTAAGCTTGTCTTGTAAAAGAGATTGTAAGCTATGAGTAGGACAGTGATTTATTTTGCTTTTGGCCGTCCTTCATCTGCCAGTGTATGGGCTTAATGAAATAACATAGATAAAAATGAAATAAAATATCGACAGTTAATTTATATATATTTACACATTTTATATTCCCAGGAAGCATCTCATTTTTAAAAGCAGCTTCAAGATTGTCTATTACTGAGAAGTATAGTCTCCACAAGGCTTCCAAGAGATCAGTTGGCAGAGGAACTCCAGAAGGCAGACCAGCTTCAGTTGCTAGCACTTCTGATGGCTCTATTCAACGCACTGCAAGTCCATGTATTTCTAGTCGAGTAACGAGTGCTGGTGGTCTTGCTACTCCAAGCCTAGAGGATTCTAACCAAGCTGATGAAGAGCATGGCACAGGTGAAGCTAGGAGCAGTTCAACAAATGGCATGCACTTCAGCAAACCTAGGCCTAAACAAACCTTAATGGGAAAAGGTTTGAAGTCCTTGATGAGGCTACAGCATAATAGAGACACAGATGAGTATGTTGACATAGAGGAAGGCATGGCTTCTGCAAAGGCGGCTTCAGAGAGACTTACTCATCCATTGTTTTCTGATGTATATATTCCTTTGAAACCTACTATTAAAGATGGAACCCAAGCAAGACCAAATACTGCCGAGCATAGTACCAGTAAGTTGTTTTTAAGGAGTACGAAACTGCTGAAGGTTTCAATTATGTACCACCATACACTCTCATACAAAACCCACATATTTGTTTTAATTAAGACGGGATGAATAATTTACATATAAAATAACATGAATGATATACATTGCTGTTTTATTCATTCTAGGTAGAAGACATTCATTGGAGCGCCCTCATACTGTTGCTACTGGTGATGTTCATGCAACGTATTCAAATGATGTAAGTTTTAGTAGATTACAGTAACTAATACCCGATTCACACTAGAAAATGTTACATGAAAATCTTCCTAAATGTCAAACACTTTCCAGATGATATCAGAAAAATATCCCAGACATCCTTAAACAAGTGGATTCAAATCTTATTATTAAAAAGTCACTACAATTTATAAGCAGAGTAAAAGTATGCTAGGAGTCACCTTACCTACGTTGCTCCCTGCCAGCAATCACACAGATTCATGCTAAAGATCATGATTTTTCTTAACATTGCACAAAATGCATGTCTTGCTTGCTATGTACTACATTTTTTGTAGCACTCGTCCTGTGTAACATGTTCCTTGATTTGAGTCGTGTACACTGTAAATTTTTAATTGTAACAGGTATAAATCATGCAGGGTGAACATTTTTTTTGCGTATAAACGGACCTATTGCTCGTCTTGAGAAAAGAATTAGCTTGTTGTAGCTCATTCCTTTATTCATTTTATTTATTTTTGTTACTTCTGTTTATCTAACTTTTGTTTTAAATTTGAAAACAAATATTCCAATTATTTTCTTTTATCAAATATTTTTTTTTATTATGCCTTGTTATTTTTTTTAACATTTTCACTTCCATGTTGATTATTAAATTACCTTTCCAATGGAATTCACCTAATTCAATTCAGGTTTATTTCAGACATCCAATTGTCAGTTTATGTAAAAAATAAAACAAACAAGTATGAAATTTAGATTACTAAGAAAGAATTTTAAAGCAAAAGGTCAAGTAAATATACCCCCTAAAGAAGACTGAAAAATCCCTTTCAGACAAAATAAATAATAGTTGTAACCTTTATGAAAAATGTATGAGGAGTTTGTGTTCTTCCAGCCCAATAGTTATTCACAAATATGTTGAAGGCCGTTTATTATTATTACATTGTAAGTTATTAAAACTGTGTTCATTATATGCTGATTGACATCTTTGAAACACTTTTGTATATTTTTCTGTAGGAGTATTTTGATGCCGACTTCATACAGAGATATTTAAGCTGTCCTGGGTAAGTTATTCATACAGTATCATCAAAGCAATATTATATTTTGTGGTTTAACTTCTGCTTTACAATATAATTGCCAGGTTGTAAAGATCATAATTTAAAACTTGTGAGAAAAACTTCCTGTTGCACATTGTATTTTAAAGTTTGTCAAACAATTGTTCTTTGCAGGAGTCCTGTTGACATGTTCCGCTTATTAAGGAATGATGGAACAAAGTTTGAGGACAATTGGCAAGGTCGAATGATAGAGAGGTAAATTTTGTATACACTATTAGATTTTTATATGTCCATACTTTTACATTTTCTTGTGATAAAAAGTGTTGTATGCCCATATACAGTAGTCATTATATGCCTATATATGGTCATGATGTGATAGTCCTCATGACTATATTTAGGCAAGTCAAATTCGATAGTCTGGCAAGGCTGACATGTTTGATCAGACTAATAAAAACAGCAATTGTCAAACTCACAACAGACATGGACCCACAACTCAGTAATTATTGAAAAATAAAACGTATAACCATAGTCGTATAGTATATCTGACAGTTAAATATTTAGTGCTGGCAAATGTGTTTTTTTGTGATTTATTGAAATTCTCTCTTTTCTTCCAATATAGGAATCATATACTCAAACTTAAGAAGGAGCAACGTGCCCGCTTTGCATTAGAGAGACGCCGGTCGTTGGAGCTGCGTCAAAGACAGCGAAGGCAGGCTCTTATGGGGCATCATCACTGCTCTAATGATACATCAGGCCACCAGACTTTATTACGTATGTTTACGCCTACTGTATCACTTTCAAGTTAAAATACATACTGGATAATGCATTTCAATATTTAAATTAGGACCACAATAGAAATAAGTTTGACTATTGAGTTACTTTTTGTGTTTTTATTCTCGAAATTTTTTATGATGTATATGAATTTCGAATAAAATGAATGAATGAATGAATGAAAATTGCTTACTCTGTATTAAAGGTAATAGCTTCCAATGTACAATAAGAATGAAAAAATAGTTTTATCCAGTATGGTTCGACTCCCCTTCCCGATATTACCCCCAGTTATTTTCCTCGTGATATTTTCCCATTGGATTCCCATTTGAAGTTTGTAACTTCTTTGTTCCTTTTTAATTGAACTTTGATGTTTTTCTCTTAATTAATTATTACAGTAAGTTGTCATTGGCAGATCTAGGATATAGCAACGAGGGTGAATAATGTAAGGTGTGAAGCAGCAAGTGGAGTAGGATGGGTTTGGGGGTCCCTTCCCATTTGAGATTTTTTGGAATTAGGAGACTGCTAGACGCTCTTAGATGGCATGTGAAAAGAAGTTAAACTTCAAATAAAAAGTGTATGTTTTACCAGAGAAACCTACACACCTAACAATGTTGTCACTCACTTCACAAACTAGCACAGCCAAAGTAGATTGTGTTAGTTCGTGAAATCATAGTAGTAAAATAATGTTCTTTGCTTTGAAATACTATATTATATTTTTAAGGTAAAATTTAATTCTGATTATTTTTTGCTAAAGTTCGATTATTTTTTTTCTTCCAGATTGTATGACACGTTCTGACAGTTCTCTTGATCTTCTTAAGAAGGACCAATCACAAAGAGCTTCCACACTTAAGTCCCCGGCACCTCCAGGCACTCCACCGCCCCCACAACCCAAGCATTATAAGGAGGTGAATGACTTAAGCAAAGAGCAAGCTTACAGGTAAATTAAATGTATTTTTGTTGATTACTTTGTATGAAAGGTGTAACTTTGTTATTCTGCTATAGAACAATATGAGAAACGACAAATCTCAGTAGTTTAAATACAGTACTACGAAATTAGCTGTAGCTAATAATATGTATAGCTAGCTAGCTGATAAAGTCAATTGTGTAGATAAAGACTACAGCTAATAAGTAGTACATTTTCGTAATAAACTGTGGAGATTTGTCATTTCTTATATTGAAGAATCAATCAATAATATCTAATATATTATATAACCTTCTACTACAATATCAGTTTTGTAAAATTAGATATTCCCAAATTATGTTTTAACCTAAATATTAGTGAAAACAGGTTTCATCTTTTTTTAGTATCTAAATTATTTGTCTTTGTTATTGGTTTATTACACATTATTTTAAATTAAAACATAAACAAATATTCCTCAATTGTGTAATAAATATGTGTCTTGTCTTTAAACACATTTTTCTTAAAATATTGTAATCTTAAAACCATACATGTTTTTGCTGGTAGCAATAGACTGTACACACTGACACAAACTCATACTTTTTTTTCCATAGAGTGTACTGCGTTCTTTAATGTACACATACAAAATCAATAACTTGAAATATATCTGTGCGCTTTCCAAGCTTGTACTTTACCCCATCCTGCTGAAACACAGAGAGAGTACCGACCTTTCTCCTAAGCCTTGTTTGCTAATGTCCCAGAAAACGACAATATGAAGCTTTTGATTAGTGTGACAACGTAACGCTAGAACGGAATCACTCATGCATGACCCTCCTACCTGGTGTCCTATGTTCCCTGCATACGTAGATTTGGCCAAATTGCATTCCAGAATCTACTCGACGAGGTGACCTTAACGTTCTTGCATGCGCTGATGACTTTTACTGATGTCATTATGTTCTACGTCCTACCGTCTTTGTGTAATCGACAGCTCCCTATTGTAAAAACATATGCACACATGCGTTTGTGGGACAACACATGTGTTTGTAGGACAAATGCATATTTCCTGGCCCTGTTTGGATTTGTCAGATGTCAAGTTTGATTGACACAAAGTTCCATTGAGCCAGACACTAAAACGACCTGAAAAAAGTCCATAAATACCAGTATAGTGCTCTACCTGTTTAGCCAGCACTAAAATGCTCTCAAGACCTATTTTTTAGGTGGGAGGAATCCAAAAGAAAGGCAAAAGAAGAATATGCATAAAAATAAACTATGTTTCATCATTATGTAAACATTTCATGTACTGTTTTTAAAATTTTTATCTAGATTTCGACTAGCTAAAGATCCAAAAACGCACCAATTTAAAACTACTGAGATGTTTGAAAGGGCTGAAGGAATATCAAGTCCAATGCTTTTAAAGCGTCCTCCTACTGGCAAGTCCATCCCCAGTAAAGCAAAGTAAGAATGAGCTAATTGTGTATGTATGACGATGTCAGCTATATTGATATACATTCCATAATGTATGCAAAAAATTATATTATATGATGAAAATAATGATGACAATGACAACAACGACATTGACTAAAAGAGTGGCAACAATTGAAAAGTTTACAGTTCTAACTGCAACTGCAATGCCATCCACTCAAATTTATTCATCATGACATTCTTTTTATTTGATTTACACGCAAGAGGTCCAACTGTCCTTGGAACTGAATCTTAAAAGCGAAATGTACTATTTCCACTAACCAGAGGACGACCTTCAAACAAATGTTAAAAGCGTTAATATCGAACGTGTGCTGTATCAATAGAACGCATGTTCGAGTTTCAAACTCTATTCAAATTCTAATAGGGCGCCCCCTATCTTGTGGTAGTAGTTTTTTTTGTTTCATTGATGCAAAATGAAGACAGTCGGACCTCTTGCATTTTTATGCCCCTTGCAGGAATTATTTACCAGAATATATCAAATGTTTTAATAATCGCTGAATTTTAAAACAGTTATTCAAAGATCACTTCCTTTAATTCATTGCTCAGTGATGATATTTAATTTTAACATATTGTATTAATTGTTTTTATTTTGCATTGCTTTTTATGATCTTTTTTTTCAACATATCGTAAATTATTTGCGAATTTTTCCTTGATGTTGTAACAAAATTATGAACAATTTAATGTGTTCTTAGCCATTTTACTAAAATTAATGCAATAATTATAGATTAAATTATTTTAGATGCTTCAATTTTAACTGGATTCATGTGATGGATCATTCTTGAAATAAGTTTGTTTGCAGAGACTAGATGGTGATTCATAATAATAGTTTATATCTGTACTTATGGGAGATAATGAGTGAATTAAATCCAATCAAATGAATTGCTTCTTGGGGAAGAGAGACAAACCTGAGAAAAATTTACTTTACTTTCTTAAAGGTGGACAAAGTTGTGCCAGTTGATAATTTTTATTTAAAATGAGGCTATCTAAGATAAATTTGGACCATAATAAGGTCCATTATTGTATACTGATTACAAGTAAATTATCAATGCTGTTGGTCTGTATGCATTATATATGATTTTTCGAATATCTTTGTTTCATTTAAATCACAGTGCGTAGGGACCCTGTATTATTATATGTATGTGCGCCTTGCCATTAAACTATATTGTAAATTTTATGTTCTTTCACTAATCCAGGTTCGTTTTAATTAAACCATTTAATACCACACCAATGAGATTGACACCATCACCACTGGAAGAGCAACTGCTGGTTGAACGGTTTCCAATGATGAGCGAACGAATTCGCCAAGATGCGTTAAAAAGGAATGCACCGACTCCTAGCCTATTGGTATCAAATGTGCCTTACAATTAAACATATTTATTTGTTACAATTAGTTAACCATCGACCAAATATTTTTTTTAAAAGATAACTTTATATTTTTTGATAAATGACCATTTCTATTTAAAATTCATTATATTATTTTCTTACTGGTTATAACACTCTTGACCGCCAGGGGTTTGAAAAAATAGTTTCAGCCACCACCAGACTTTTTAGCAAATTTAATAATCGCGATTTCGTGAAAGTAAATCAATGCCGCTCTTCTACGCTAATGTAATCAAACAAATAGTGAAATACCTACGGTCTAGACTGACTATTGTGTTCAAATTGTTAGTACATGTCGGCAATTATCCCATATATCGGATTCCGTAAAAAAACCTGAAACATGGTGATCTCAGTGTTTGGTGGTCAAGTGTTGTGTTACCAAACACAGAGATCTCCGTGTTTGGCGGTCAGCATGTTAATAACTCTAGAACCTTATGAAGAAGTCATTATTGAAATGTACAGTTTCAAATTATTAATATTAATTTTTATATTTTTTTATGCGAGTTGTGTATACAGACCACATTCCGTCCACAATGAATTGTCTTCCAAACGTGTGTTTTACATTTTCATGTTTCGTGCAATAACTGATAGAAATGCCAAATTGTTAATATAATATAAATATTGATTGAATATGCAGAGGTGGCCTCAGAAATTTGCCAACAGGGGGTCAAACTAGTCTAAAAGTCTGGCAGTGGGTCTGAACCAAGGTGCAGAGAGGATCTTTATACACCACACTGCAGATAGATAAAGGGGTAAGGGGGATGATTATATTGGCTAAGTGTAGTAAAATAGTGGTTTTAGTCACAATACATTTTTTTGGGGATTGGAAAATTTACGACGACTTTCAGTGGATCTTAACTATAGGGGTCCATGCTTCCAATAGGTGTTGGTGGAATTGCATCGCTGATTAAATGAAGTAGGTATAAATGCATACTGTACACTTATTTTATATACTGTATAGTAATGTTCATGTATGCGTATGTGGTACGCATGAATGTGAGAGTGTGGATTAGCATGAAACAATTTTCGATTTTCTAATGATTCACATCCAGCAAAACCATAACACCTAGGCCTATCACTTAAAATAACCCATCCCATTATCATTTCCTGTCAATAATACACCTTGATTTTGCCGTTAATACGTTTTAGAATAAGATGAGTCTGTATAAAATATTAACATTTGATTTTTGAATTTCTTTATTTTGCTGAGAGTTTTATCAGGTTTCAATGACAATGTGGAAATAAAAGGTATCAATGACAATATGGAAATAATTCCCACCGACGATTATTAATTGGTAAAATAAAAAATTAGTTTAATGTTTCACCAAGGTCGATTAATGATTAATGAAGTTAAAGCCTACAAGATAGCGATATTTATGACCTCAACAAATTCTTGATTTCTCTGTCACATATCTGTTTACACTACTTTATTTACGAGTTGAGAGATACAGCGCCACTAGCGACCTGGCGGTTGGTTGCGCTACAATAAAAGTTAAATCCGAACGAAACTGCGTTTACCGAGGACGGTTAGTGTATGATACAGTGACGATAAAGACTGCAAGATAGCAATATTTATCACATTTACAAAGTTATATAAACGGGCACTCTGCTACTAACCACCTGTCGGAGGTACCAGCTCCCTGTCGAGGAAGATCTGGCTCTACCACTGTAACACATGAGTGACCCAAGCTCACAAAAGGGCTGTAAACTCGCACCGCACTCTATTGAGAAACAAGCCTCCATAGCCAGAATAGGGCGTCGAACGTGAATTTTGTGTGAATTGGGTTTTTGTGGAATAAATAAAGTATAACTTTTAATCTTACTATTCCTGAAGTTTGAGTTTACAATTATAACTGTAAGAGGTAAAATTTAGCCATTTTCGGATGGGAGCTAGTGAAAAATGAAACCTGCCGAAAATAAAAGCATTTTCTCCAAACTTGATTTAAGAAATTTGATAAGATGACAATTATTCAAACTGTCATAACTTTGCTTTCAGAAACCTGATTGAGTTAATTTAACTGTCATTTTAAAGTAAATGATATGTTCTATGCCATTATAACAAAAACTCATTTTGGCCTGGGGACGAATTTACAGCCCTTTTGTGAGCTTGGGTCACTACGATCGCGAAAGTATACAACACTATTCGCATACGGTAGCACTGCTCGCACTAAACAGTTTTTGATCCCTAAAATTTGACAGGTTAGTCAGGCATACCTAAATTGTACTTTCGTTGGGTCTAGATTTCATTTCCCCCGACGACCTTGCTGGAAATTCCCCAACAGCTGGGTCCTAGCAGGGAGTTAGGAGGTCCGCGAAGTGTTGTCCTTTGCGTTCCTGGAGCCTCGCTGACGCCCCCTCCCTAAGTTGTCCTGAATATTAGATCTTTATGGTTGCCGAAAAAATCCCTGATAAAAGATCATGAGAAATTTGTTGGCGCTTCATTTTGACTATAACGGAGGTGTGATACGTTAAACTACAAACTATATTTCAGCTTTGCATTAATAAGATGTAGATTTTATGTTAAAATATATAAATATAAACCAGTTTTAAACGTTTATTATTGTTGAAATAACACTGGGTAAATAATGAGTACTTGGATGAAAATCTTTACACACTTTTAACGTTGATTCTACATTGCAATAAGAAAACTGTATTTCAACTTAACATTGCAAGATGCTGAATACATTTTGTACTTGTAATCTTAATAATCTCAACCAGATTTCAAAGTAAATTATTGAATATTGAAATAATGTTAAGTAAAAAATTTAGACTTGGATAACAATTATTATTATTATTATTATTATTATTATTACTATTATTAATTATTATTTTTATTATTGTCATTATTATTATTATTATCATTATTATTATTATTATTATTATTATTATTATTATTATTCAAAACGTTGATTGTATGTTAAAATACCAACTATATTTTAACTTAACATTGAAAAGTTGTTGAATATATGTTATTACTCTTATTTTCATCAATAATTTAATGTTGAAATACATTTAAATAACTAACCAAAACTTTGCTTTAAAAGATAACATATTTTCTACGTTGATTTAACGTTGAGTAAATGTTGTCAACATGATTTCAACGTTGAAATAACGTTTAGCTACTAATAGAAGATCGCACATATCTCCCATTATACATAACTGCACTGGCTTCCCACTAGTTCATGAATAAAGTATAAAATCAATTCTTTTCCTTTTTTACCTTTTTGACGTTTTCCTTTCGGCCACAAGGTGTATTGTGTTTTCATTGTGACTTTTTGAAATAAAGAGAATATAAATCCTCCTACTAACACAATACAAAGAGCTTCTCACTTAAGTCCCCAGCACCTCCATGTACCTCTCAGTCCCCACAACCCAATCATTATAAGAAGGTGATTGACTTAAGCAAAGAGCAAGCTTACAGGTATATTAATGGTAGTTTATTGATTACATTAAATCAAGCCAATCATCGACTGTTGAAAATATTGGACTGTAACGAGGAATAGGCAAATAACTTTGGGGGGAGGGCGCTCGCGCTGCAGCGATGACGTGACTAGTGTTCCTATATTATAGAGAGAGTTGCGACGTGGCGGTTCAGTTAAGGTCAAGTGATTACTGGTCGCCATCTATCTGCCATCTTGGTGCCCATTGATCAAGTCAGTGGTGCATAGCCAACAAAAATAAGATAAGCTTTGAGGCAAAATTATTGAACTCATGTTACTTAAAAATCCATAAATCCGTAACGGAGAATCATATCACATTTTTTTTTTTTCTGGAAATGTTCTTAAAAGACTATTCTACACCAGTATATAAGTTTTAATCAATGAAAAAAATGTTTCGACCTCTGCCACAAGATGGGAAAAGAAGAGC